CCTTGGGGAGGTTTTGGGGTGGCCTGGCAGGCCCGAGGGGGATGCTGCACCACAGAAAGGAGCTGTGCGGAGGGGCAGGCCTTCACTCTGTGTGAGGTGGGAGCCATGGAGGGTTCAGGCAGAGGAGGGATCTCGTTGGACTCAGGGGTTCCAGGAGGGGGTGGGGAGAAAAGGAGGAAGCAGAGACCAGCGGGGAGGCCACTGTAATGGTCTGGTGAGAGGCGCTGGCAGCTGGGATGCAGGGGAGAAGTGGATACACCTTTTCATCTTTTAAAAGGTTTGATTACAAATGACAAACATACAGAAAAGTGCTCGTCATGAGTGTACATACAGCTCAGTGAATTTCCGCAAAGTGAATAACCCTGTCATGAGCACTAGGTTCCAGGAGCGCAGACCTGTGCTGGCGACCTGTAAGGACGGAGCCAACAGGATTTGCTGTGGGGCTGGTATGAGAGGAAGGAAGGCCCCAGAGAGGACCCCATGACGTTGACCTGAGCAACCGGAAGAAGGGAGTGCTCCTGTCAGAGGTGGGGGCTGCCCGGGGGAGCGGGCCAGAGCTGAGTGGTGCCTATTTTGAGTTTGAGGTGCTTATTAGTGTCTAAGGGGAAATGTCAAGCCGGAAGTTGATCACATGGGACTGGAGTTCAAGGGGATGTTCTGGGCCGGAAACAATCTCCATTCAGGGTTACTCTGCCCTGATCTGGATACGCAGGATTGTTGTGGCCACAAGGGCTGTTTCCGTTTAGGTTGTAACGAGAAATAAATGAACCAGTGGGCGGAGTTGGGGATGGTGCTGACCTCTGATGCCTTCTGCCAGCCTCCCTCTGCCTGCTGACCCTGCTGCAGCCCCCTCAGTCCGGGGCCCCATCTCCCCAGCTGAGCCCATCAGTCAAGCCCATAGCCAGGCAGAAGAATACGTCAGTGCTCCTGCAGATGGCTGTTAGTGATGCTGGGCCTGAGAGGGAGTGAGGGGCGGGGACATGCCCTCCGGCTCTGCTCTTTGCAGGGGGAAGAGCAAGGCCAGGGGAAAGTTCCTCCATGGGTCGGAGGGTACAGGCGCTCTGTTAACTAGAGACACACCCACACGATCACGGTCACTGAGGGCTGGTGATCCTGGACAAGTCATTCTTTCTCTCTCAGCCTCGGCTTCCTAGTGATCCTGCCTTTGCTGACCTCTCGGGTCTGTTACAAGATTCAAAGGAAGCACCAGAGAGAGGGCTTTACCGCCATGATTATCTCCACAGGCACGGGCTGTGCTGTTTATTTGGTCCTCATGCCCCGAGGGCACTCCCTCCCATTACCTCACTGACTTCTCCGGAAGTTCTGAGACAGGGACCTACAGTCCACTTCGCAGACAAGAAAACAGAGTCCGAGAGGGGTGAACAGTTTGCTGGAGGTCACGCAGGAATACCGGGAAGTGCCAGGATCTTAAACCAGGGCTGTGACATTCAATGCCAATTCTCCCCACACCCCCAACTATCTGGAAGTCCAAACTGGAGCCTCTTGGCCAGCTGTTTCCGGCGGGGGCTGTGCAGGGCTTGTTCAGTCCTGAACGTGACGCCTGTCTAAAGCAGGCACAGGAGTCCTGTGACCAAAGCTCCTGCGTTCCTCCCAGGTCACATGACCTGCGGGCCCTGACCCTCAGGAGTCTGTGGCTCTTCCACTGTCTATAGTCCAGGCCCATGTGATGTTGCTAAATCTAGTTTATCTTACACCTTCCACCATTCCTGGTAGCTTTGGGCACCCTGAGCCTGTTTCTCCTGTGAAATGGGGATGTGGGACCAGGTGATGTATCTATCAAGGAGGAGATTTATCAGCAAGCACGAAGATTCTGTGCGTGTAGGTTTGTGGAGGCAAGAACTTTAATGGAGAAGGCACTCAATGACATTTAATAATATCAACAATTATTTATTGACTAGAGGCCCGGTGCACAAAATTCATGCACAGGTAGGGTCCCTAAGCCTAGCCGGTGATCAGGGCCAACCAGGGCCTTCTGGCTGCTGGCTGGGGCCTTCTTTCATTCCATGCCACCCCCTGGTGGTCAGTGCATGTCATAGCGAGTGATGGAACTCCCAGTAAAACTTCAGAGGGGACAATTTGCATATTAGGCTTTTATGTATATAGATTATAATAAAATTAACAAGCACAAACAATTAAATGCTGTAAAAAAAAAAAGAAATAGGGCTGTAACTAAATTGTCAATAACATATTTAGGTATTTAGGTAGAAAATGTTATAATAATATAATCTGTGTTCATGACATTAACATTTATTATTAGTGGTGGCTTATCATGCTCTTATAGTATGCCAGGTGCTGGGCTAAGGGCTTTCTATATATTACTTATCATCTCATGACAATACTGCCACATGGGAATTATTGAAACCGTGATTCAAACTTTCACAACTTACATGTGGAGGAAGTTAAAATGGAAGCCAGTTGAGCCCAGGCCCTGTGCTAAGACATCTCACTGACTCGCTGGGGTGTAATGGGTGGCAACTCCCCCTGGGAAGATGCTGTCGCATAGAAGGCAGATGTGAAATCCTGGGAGCTTGAGGGTACCCTTTGGTCCCCTCACTTCTGTCTCTGTCCCTCACGCTGCTCCAGCCCCAGGGCAGCCCTTCTCAGCCCCTGCGCTCCAGCTCAGCAGCCTGCCACCTGCCGCTGTCTCCTTCAAGACCTGGCATGCCTTGGCTGATGGGGAGTGCTGTGCAGTGCCCAGGGGGCCTTCTTGGCCTTGACCGAGCACCTTCAGCTTGTGGGAGACAACCAGAGCTACCTGAACCCTGGCAGGCCTCTCCTGCTGGCTCAGCTGGGGCTGCGAGGCTCCGGGCCCACAGCCTGCTGGGCAACATGGCTGCCATCGTGACTGCCCTGGGCCTGCCTATCCACCCGAAGAGGACACTGCCGGGCTTGTCACCTGTGGGGCCTCAGCCTTCGAGAGGAAATGTCGAGGCTGTATAGTGACCCAGGAATATGACCACTGGACAGGCCGAGCTGTGAGGGACTTGGCTCTGCTCAAGGGCAAGTACCCGGGAGAGAGGAGGCAGGACTTCCTGTCAGAGCTGCAACGCTTCTGGCCTTTCTGCCTGCTGCTTGGCTAGCGGACAGGGTCAGTGTGCCATGTCATGGGAATACTTCCTGGGAGCCAGCCTCAACTCCCTGGTGGCTGGGCCTTCCCAGACCCATGGCCTCCCTTCCAGATCTGGTGGGAGGATGACGCTATCATCCCGGCATCGCACTCCAGGGGGCTGGTGGCCGCCTCCTGGGTGGAGAGAAGCACCGCTTTGAAGAGGCTTCACACCCCGTCTCTGGGCAGGACGCTGGCCTCCTTCCTGGGCTTCCCTGAGGCCGCCCTTCCGGTCATTGTGGGGAGGTGCAGGGCGCAGGCTCTGCCTCACTTCCTGGGGGGAGATGCGGAGGCTGTGGAGCAGACGGGCCTCTTCCTTTCGCTGGAGCTCACTTCCTCCCTGGTCTCCTCTTCTGACCGTGGCCACGGTGACAACTTCCCGTCTCCAGGGGCTTCACTTCCCCATCAATGGAGGTTCGATTCACATCTGTTTCCTGCTGGGGACACAGGCTGGTCCCGCTGGGGCCAGCGTCCCTGACCCGGCTCTCAGGAGCCCACTGCCACTGCACTGTGGTGTTAGTGTGTCTGGGCCCAGGCGACACCCAGGATCCTGTTCTCCTCCAGGCATCTCCCATCTTCAACAACTGTATCTGCTGGTAACTTTACTGTTCTTTTTATTTTTATTTTTAAAATATATTTTATTGATTTTGTACAGAGAGGAAGGGAGAGAGATAGTTAGAAACATCGATGAGAGAGAGTCATCAATCAGCTGCCTCTTGCACACCTCCCACTGGGGATGTGCCCACGACCAAGGTACATGCCCTTGACTGGAATCGAACTGGGGACCCTTCAGTCCGCAGGCTGATGCTCTATCCACTGAGCCAAACCGGTTTCAACTCTTTTTATTTTTTTTTAACATTTTATTTACAAAAAATTAATTTATTTTCAGAAGTGAAATTATTTTAAGGTGTCGATTGTTTTTCTTCACAGACCTGGCTTTGGAGGCACAGTAGGTGCAAGGACATGGTGGAGGAAAGTGAAGGGGGAGGATGTAAAGGGAGGAGGGCAGGGGTGGGGTGGGAGGGGGGCAGCAGTGGATGGACTGGGGTGGGGTGGGGGGAGGGCGGAGGGAAACAGAGTGACCAGGTGTCCCTTCCTTGAGTTGAGGCTGAGCTGCACACAGGCTCGTGCGGGTCGAGAGGAGAGAAGAGTGAGGAGAAAAGGGAGGCAAGTGACCTCCAAGTCACGTGGGTGAAGGTGTTTGTGGGGGGGGGGGGCACACCCAAGGGATGGAGGAAAGAGGGAGAAAGCAGGAGTGTGACGGAACTGGGAAGTCACACACGGAGACGAGGAGGTCCCTGGAGAAGAGGAGAGTCTGAACAACGCCGACAGGACAGAGGCGGAGAGATGGAGAGAGATGGAGAGAGATGGGGAGACAGAGAGATGGAGAGAGATGGGGAGACGGAGAGATGGAGAGAGATGGGGAGACGGAGAGATGGAGAGAGATGGGGAGACGAAGAGATGGAGAGAGATGGGGAGACGGAGAGATGGAGAGAGATGGGGAGACGGAGAGATGGAAAGATGGAGAGATGGAGGGAGATGGAGAGAGATGGAAAGACGGAGAGATGGAGGAGATGGGGAGACGGAGAGATGGAGGGAGATGGAGAGAGATGGAAAGACGGAGAGATGGAGGAGATGGGGAGACGGAGAGATGGATGGAGATGGAGAGAGATGGAAAGACGGAGAGATGGAGGGAGATGGAGAGAGATGGGGAGACGGAGAGATGGAGAGAGATGGGGAGACGAAGAGATGGAGAGAGATGGGGAGACGGAGAGATGGAGAGAGATGGAAAGACGGAGAGATGGAGGGAGATGGAGAGAGATGGAAAGACGGAGAGATGGATGGAGATGGAGAGAGATGGAAAGACGGAGAGATGGAGAGATGGAGAGAGATGGAAAGACGGAGAGATGGAGGAGAAGGGGAGACGGGGACATGGAGAGACGGAGGGAGATGGAGGCGGCTGGCGGAGGCGGCGGCGAGCTGCGGCCGGCCTCAGGCGGGGCCCCCGGGTACCAGCTGGCCCAGGTCGGCTTCGGTGCGGCTCACCCAGTCGCGGTAGAGGCCGCACACGCGGAGCCCCAGCAGCTTGGCGGGGAAGGCGCCGGCGGCGGCGGCGGCGGCGGCGGCGGCGGCGGCGGCGGCGGCGGCGGGCTCGGGCCGGGGCTCGCGGGGCTCGGCGCCCAGCGCGGCCAGCACGGCCTCCAGGGCGGCGCCCAGCGCGCGGGCGCGGCGCGCGGCCTCCTCCAGGCGCCGCAGCAGGGCGGTGCGCGGGTTCAGCTCGGCCTGCAGGCGGCGCACCGCGTCCAGCAGCGGCGGCAGCGCGGCCAGCGCCCCCGCGTCCAGCCGCAGGCGCTCGGGCAGCGGCAGCCCCGCGTGGCCCGCGCCCGGCGCGCTCAGCCCCGCCACCGGCGGCCGCGGGGGCGAGAAGCCGGGCCGCCCGAAGGGGTCCCCCTGGAGCTGCACCTGCGGAGACAGGCCGTCAGTGCCGGGGCCGCCGCCCGGGGCTCCCTCCCCGCCCGCACAGGACAAGTCCCGTCTGGTTATGAGGACACAGAACTGCCAAAAGTGACCTTCACACAGGCCTTTGTGTCCTCGTCTCTACCATGGAGATAACACTGTCAACCTCATAAGGTAGCTGCGAGCATGTCAGAAAGCCTGTCAGTCCCGGCCCGCCCCGGGAAAGGCACAGTAAACACCAGGGCAAGCATGCCAAACTCCAAGGCTGACCCGGGTGAGGAAACAAGGTTTACGTTTATGTGGCCAAAAAATCAAAAGCTTCCATTTTCAGACATGCTGAATACAAAGGGCTGAAATAAATGGGTCATCGTGAACATAAAATCATAGAACATTTTAATAAAAATTAATATTTTTTCTTGAACATTAATTTACCAGACACTGAATGCCTGCACAAATTAATAAGCGTAATGCAAATAAACCTATTTTCCTTGTTCTCCAAAAGCGAAATATTTCCTGTTGCACACACCAAACAAGTCAGTCCAAGACTAAGGTGACAATTGGCTGCTAAAATATCCGCTGCTAATATCAGTGGAGAGAAATGGTGCACCTGCATGTGAGGTATGTAAGGGAAATGAATGCAACACGATTGTAGTAATCAGTCATTAGCAAACGTTGAAGTTTGTTATTAATAATTATGTATAACAGGATATTATAAAGATTAAGTTACAAAATTTTTATTAAAATATCTCTTACATACTGTTATATTGGCTGGGCTGCAAAAATATTTGTTGTGGGTGACCCGTGGGCCGCGAGTTTGACATGCTTGCAGTAGGTGCAAATCCTTTCTCCATTTACTAACTGTTCAGTTTCTTACAAAACCATTTCCCTTCTCTGAGCCTCAGTCTCATCTGTAGAATGGCGGTGAGGGGGGGGCCCGCGGGGGGGGGGGCAAGATAGTATGGGAACTAGTCTTTTTCACACACCCCACCCCCTCTCCCACCTGCCTGGCACACAGCAGGGCTTCATGAATAACTATCATATGAGTGAACAGAAAAAAGCTAAAGGTGATATGTAATTTGTAAAACTGCTATACAATCCCATTTATCCTTTGCTAACATCTTGCCTCTGGTTCAGGCATTGTGCTTGCTGCTTTAAGCACACTATTCCTAATTTCCCCAATAATGGGTGTGATGTAATTATGATGATTTTGTAAATGAGGACTCTGGAGCTGAAGAGGTACAGCGCCTCGACCTGGGTCCTCCATCCAGGAAAGGGCAGAACGGGAATCGGAACGAAAGTTGGTAGGTCGACAAAGCTGATTCTGTCCTCCCACTACCTACTAATTGTTACTTCATTCTTTTCATGTTCTCATCCCTGCCCAAGGTCACAGTAAGATTGGCAGGACACAGTCTGTCTGCTTCAAAACCATACCCTCCCTCCACTGCACTATAGAAATTTGGGGAAATTTCTTCTGTCCTTAGGCAGGCGCTCTACCCAACCAACTATACTGGCAGACCTCCCTCCTTTGTAAAAGTCCCCCGGGGATGGAATTTTTGACCCAGACTGAAACCCCTTCCTGGCCTCTGCATAGCACAAGTAAGAGTTCACATCTCATCTTGTTCAACTGCCTCTTTTGACAGCTGGTGAGACCAAGGCCCATGGCAGTGAGGTGACAAACCCATCCAGCCTGGAACCCAGCTTTCCTGACTCCCAGACCAGAGTTATCTAATGCTCAGGATGCCTGTGTGAAGCACCAAGAAGGGAGCCTCCAAGCTTAGGTGGATGAAGGGGCATTTGGGGAACAGACACGATCCTCCTCGCATTGCTATGTGGCCGGGGGCAAGTTACTGATCTCGCTTGGAGCCCCAATTTCTGCAGCTGGGAAATGAGGTTGAGAAAACAGGTGCTCAGGTAACCCTATGATCTGTGTTTCTCTGATCCCCGGCCCCTCCCCCCCACACCCATCCCCACTCACATATTCCTGGAAGAGCTGCTCAGCATATTTGGTGAGGAGGCGGGCAAGGCTGTGTGTCTGATGGATCTTGGCCTCCAAGAGGGGAAGGGGTGAGATTGAGGAGTCAGCCTGGAAGTCTTCTGGTGGGAAAAGGGGGGAGGAATGAGGGCAGCCCCAACTCCTTGCTCCTGACCACTTCAGGCTGGCCCTTTCTTCCCAAACCCAGAAGCTCAGCTCTGAACTCTCCAACGTTTAAGCCAGGCAGGCTCTGTCCCATTCCAACTGAGGGAAATGAGATACCAAACATTTTCCAAACGTTTTTTTTCTGCGAGAAATGTGTTCCCTGTTCTCAAATCACTGTTGAAATACTATTAAAGCTAAATTCAAACACTGCCTCCTCAGTACAGCCTTGGATTCACTCCTCCCTTAAATTAACTCCTTTCTTCTTCTTAAGGCCATTTGTTCATACTTTCAAGGTAGTTCTTTTAATGGCGCTTTTATGTGTGTGAACTGGCCTCATCCTGGGAGCCATTTGAGGGTAGGGCTTACATACCTCGGTACCGCTGCTGTAATTGTTGGTGAAATTCAACATCACTGAAACACGGCACTTCACACCGGAATGCGCCTTTCAGCCCATTTTACAGACTGGGAGACTTAAATCCCCTTCCCTCCCTGATAGCCTTTTTATGCGAGGCCCTGGGCACCAGACATCATCAATTGAATCAGCGGCCCCGTCTCCCTAAACACAAGCTGAAAGGTAGTGCCCGGGGAAGCACTACATTTCCCGAGACGCCCCGCGCAAGCGCCCAGGGCAGGCTGGGTAATGTAGTCCTGGCTTCTCAACCCTGGCGTCCCGCCCCCGCCCCCACCCGCCTGAGGTTCCCACCGCCTATTCCTGTCGTTATCAACCTGGACTTTCGTCGCTCGTAGTCATTCACTCTCTACTGTGGCCCAAAGACTTCCTCTGCTAACTCTGTCACTCCCCGGGCCCAGCTCGGATTCTCCGCCGGTTTTCAAAGAGGACCCAGGGTACAGCCTCAGCCACGACCCCAGGCCTCCCCCAGGGGGGACTCGAACCGGTTATCTAATCCCTGAGCCCACGTCCCCGAAGGTACAATCCAGGCCTCCTCTCAACGCCGGCGCCAGCACCTTCCCACGCTCGCCCACAGCTCGCCCACAGCTCGCCCACAGCTCACCGCTGTTACCTGACACCGGCCCTGCTCCCCCTCTCCGGCCGCTCCCTCCCCGGCCCGAAGGTAGTGGGGACCCGGACCCCAGCTTCCAGCCCTTCAGACACGGCTCCCCTTGGGCACTCGACAGTCACACTCCAGCCCCTTACCCAGACTTCCCTCCCTCTGGCTCATGCTGGCCCCAGGCTGATCCCGGTTGCCTCCACGCCCCCCTTCCCAGAGGGGGAGAAGGGGGGAAAAGGCGGGGGCGGGCCCGGGCGCAGCCAATCAGGGCTCAAACCCCAAGAATTTCCCCCCCCCTCCCGCCCCAGGCAAGATTCCTTGTCCGGGAGTCCCGGTCACCGCCTGCTGGGCCTAGTGGAGAAAGGGCCTGAGGGGGTGGCAGGTGGTCTGCAAGGTGGATTTGGGACCTCGACCCGGGGGAGGACTGGGGCCAGCGCCGGAGAAGCCCCGCATCACGCCAGGAGGAGGAGGCTCCGGCTCCGGCCAGAGACAACGTTTGGCGCCAGGCTGCTTTTCGGAGAAAACGGGGGTTGGTTGGAGGGTGGGGCTGGCAGGACAGGAATGCGCGGCACTCTCTCTTGTCTGGGAAGGAGGGGGAGAGGGGGCTCTAAGGCTTGGGCAACACCTGCCCAGACACACTGTCCACCTCCTTTCTTAATACGTCATGTTCTCTGCTCCCGTTGCACCTACTACGCAGCAGAGGGACAGGTTCACCAGCTCAACTCACAACCAGGCTCACACACCTGCTCTGACCGCATATAGACTTTCATTCTCACACAGGAACACGCTTCAGAGACAGGTGTGTGTGTGTGTGTGTGTGTGTGTGTGTGTGTGTGTGTGTGTGTGTTAGCCACATGTCAACTCCACTAACCTGGTGCAGACAAAGCCCAGTCTGTGCTGGGCGCTGGGACCTGGGGGTGACCCAACTCGCTTCCTGGTTCCCGAGGAGCTCCCAGTCTGATGGGGGAACATAGAAACAGCAGGTAGAGTGACGAAGGGACTGGGGAGAGGCTGTGTCTGGGAGAATATCGCCAGAATAAAGGAAGAAAGGGATTACTGGCAGAGGGCACAGCAGGTATGATGAAACCCGATTGTTCACAGGGTCCACAGTCACATACTCATTTAAAATAATGTTTTTTATTGATTTTTTAGAGAGAGAGGAAGAGAGCTAGAGATAGAAACATCAAGGAGAGAGTGAGAAACATCATTGATTGGTTGCCTCCTGCTGGCCCCCTCTGGAGATCAAGTTCGCAACCCAGGCTTGTGCCCTGACCAGGAATCTAACTGATGACCTCTTGATTCCTGGGTCAATGCACAACCACTGAGCCACATACTAATAACAGTGAATATTTATTGAGTATTTACAGCGTGCAAGGCACTGTTCTAAGAGTTATACATTTATTAACTTACCCTCGTTACAGTTGAATTAGAAACAAGTGACGTACCCAGGGTGCCTGGACAACCAGAGCTGGGATTTTACCCCAGCAATTTGGTTCCCCAAATGCTGCCATAACCATCTTCCTATACCTTAACCTCTGTGGACCTAGTCTCACCAAAACAAACAGACCCAATAGCCACTCCTTGTGAAATACACACACACACACACACACACACACACACATTTAGATGTCATATGTGCTGGCAAACAGACTCAAATCAACCAAGACATGCTCCTTTTAAATAAGATTTTACTTTATTTAAAGTACAAACAACCAGGATTTTTTACAGAGTAAATAGGCCCAGGGAACCAGCACCAGATTAAGAAAAAGGCCGGAACCGGTTTGGTTCAGTGTATAGAGCATCAACCAGCGGACTGAAAGGTCCCAGGTTCGATTCCGGTCAAGGGCACGTACCTTGATTGCGGGCACAACCCCAGTGGGGTGTGTGCAGGAGGCAGCTGATTGATGTTTCTCTCTCATCAATGTTTCTAACTATCCCTCTCTTTTCCTCTCTATAAAAAATCAATAAAATATATTTAATAATAAAAAAAGAAACAGAACATGACCAGTTCCCAGAGCCCCCTCTAACTCCTCCCAGTCCCAAGGGTGCCCCCATTCTGATTATCACACCCTAAGTTAGTTTCGTCAGTTTGGAACTTCACACACATGGAGTCAGACAGTTTGCCTTTCTTGAGACTGGTTCCCCTGGTGGGTGTAATGGGACTTCCTTCTCCTGTGTCCAGGGTGTGGGTGGGCTACAGCTCCTATCCACTCTCCTCGGACGGGTTGTTTCCAGTCTGAGGCTATTGTCACTAGTGCTGTGAGCATTCAGCACCCCTCGGGCCTCTCCTGGTGCTCATACCTAGCATTTCTGTTGGGTGCTGAGGGTGTGGGAGTGGAATTGCTGCACCAAAGGGGTTTCACTAGAAAACTGCGTTTTCCACAGTGTCTCTACCAGTTTACACCCCCAGAGGCACGAAGGATCCAGTTACCCTACTCCTTCCCCTGCCCTCGGGGCCCCAGTCGTTCTCATTTGGCCATTCTGTTGTTGGGCAGGTCCGTGGCACTCAGTGAATAGGCTGCTGAATGAAAGGCTGAAGGAACAGTCGGACAGTGTACACTGGACAACCTGGCGAGGGTGGACACACACACACACACACACACACACACACACACACACACACACACACACACACACACACACACACACACACACACACACGTGCGCGCGTGCGCGTCACAGGAGCGCTCACGCGGAGGACGCACCCAGGCTCAGCCCCTCCCGCTCCCGGGCTCACGTGCTCTGGACGCTCCCTCGGCCGCCGCGCGCACCCGCCTCGCAGCGGCCCCAACCTCCCTCCGGGCGGCGGCAGGGGGCGCTGCGCGGCCGGCAGGGGGCGGGCCGGGCCGGGGCGGGCTCGGCGGCAGGAAGCGGGCGGGGCCTGGCGGCGCGTTGGGCAGCGAGGGAGGGCGCGGCCAACTCCCGGGGGGACGGCGGGCCGAGGGATCCGCGACCCGGCCTGGCGCCGAGCCTGAGCCCGCCGGACGGGAGGCGGCCCAGCCGCGGGCTCGGCCCCGGCCCCGGCCCCGCCAGCATGGCCGGCCGCACCGTGCGGGCCGAGACCCGGAGCCGGGCCAAGGATGACATCAAGAAGGTGATGGCGACCATCGAGAAGGTCCGGAGATGGTGAGCGCTGTCCGGGGCCAGGGGCCAGGGTCGGGACCGGCAGGGCCATGCCTCCCCCAAAGGCGTCTGGCCGCCCCTCACCAGCTGTGGCCCCGGTGTCAGGCGTGTCCCCCAGCTGCGCCCCGATCTACAGAGCTCTGTCCCCTCTGGCTGCCCCGGGGTCTACAAAGGTACACCCAGCCGTGCCCTCCAGGGCAGGAGCCCCCACCTGCGCCCCGCCCCCGAGGCTTTGACACTCCTCCCTAAGTATGCCGATCCCAGGCCAGGCCCCAGCCTGGTGCCCATTCTACCCCCCGGGGTCTGTGAGCCGTGGCCGCATACTCCGTCCCTACAGGCACCTCCATGTCTGCCCTGGCATCTGCAGGTTCTCCTTCTCCCTCTCACTATGCCCATTAGCAAAACTGCCCCTTCCCATGCACCACCCACACCTCTGAGGTGTCCCCAGGTGTGTCTAGCTGCTGAGGGAGGCTCAGCTCAGGCCTCTCTGACCTGGTCCCCCCACTCTCCCGCAGGGAGAAGCGCTGGGTGACTGTGGGCGACACGTCCCTTCGTATCTTCAAGTGGGTGCCAGTGGTGGACCCCCAGGAGGAGGTGAGCAAGCTCCCCCACGCCAGACCCTACATCTGTGCAACCCCCTCCCCCCCCATCCTGGCCTCCGCCTCCAGCCCCCACTCTTAGACACATGCTAATCATTATTGGCAGCTCCACCCTCCTCCTTTCTCCCCCTCCAGACCCCGGAGTTCAAGACTTCACCCAGTGTGCCCACCTCTGCCACCTCACGCAGACCTTTTGCTTCTCTGCACCTCAGCTTACTTATTGGTAGGGTGGGGGCTTTGCAAGCAACTCTGATCCTTACCCCTCTGATCCCCAGGAGCGACGGAGGGCAGGTGGCGGGGCAGAGAGATCCCGAGGCCGGGAGCGTCGGGGTAGGGGTGCCAGCCCAAGAGGGGGTGGCCCTCTCATCCTGCTTGATCTCAATGGTATGTAGGGATCCGGTGGGGGGGCTGTGGGATTGAAGGAGGGGACTGGGACCTCAGGCCCAAGCCTCTCGACGTTTGCTCTCACAGATGAGAACAGTAACCAGAGTTTCCACTCGGAAGGCTCCCTGCAGAAGGGCACGGAGCCCAGCCCGGGCGGCACCCCCCAGCCCAGCCGTCCTGCGTCGCCTTCCGGACTCCCAGAAGGGGTCCCGGAGGAAGCTCAGCCCCCGCGGCTAGGCCAGGAGCGAGGTAGGACCCGGTGCTGCCAGGAGCCTCCCTCTGAGCCTTGTCCTCTCCGAGGCTGGAGCCACCAGCTTGTCCCTGTCCCTGCTCCCCTCTTCTGTGCCTCCTCCGAGGCCTTCCTGACTCCTGTGGAAGGCCCAGGCCTTTCTCTGGACTTCTGGTCTGTTGATAACTTACCACTGGGATTTTCACGTAAATCTAACCTTTATTACCTAAGTGTCTTTCTTTCCCTCTTCCACCTCCTGTCGGCTGCCTGAGTGTTGGGTCCATATTGATCGTGTTTGCTACTGTATCTTCAGAACACCACGTGGCACATAGTAGGTGCTCAATAAGTATTTGTTAATAAGTAAATAACAGCGCTAATATTAAGAGTAATTAAGAGATGACAGCTAATACTTATTGAGCTCTTATTGTGTGACACTCTCCTAAGCTTTTTACATGTTTTATTTTATCTCCTTTAATCCCTACTGCAATGCTTTGAGGATTATTATCACCATTTATAGGTGAGAAACTGATCGCCCAGCTCACCAGCCTGGAGCGTGAGTGATCCTCAGCTTCTCTTTTCTCCACATAATCAATCCCCTCTCTGGTCAGTCCCCCCTCCCAGCATCGCCTCGCTTCCTCTCCCTCCCCAGGTGCTGTGCTCATCCTCACCAAACTCCAGCCTCCTGTAGGTCTCCCGTCCTCCAGTCACCCCCACAGGGCCCACGGAGCGGCTTTTTCTAAAGCAAGAGTTTGAGGGGGTCCTTTTCCTGCTCACGGCCCTCACTGGCCTCTCTGGCTCTCATCACCCCCTTTCCGGAACATCATGACATGGGCTATGGCTGTGTCTACATTGTACTCTGGACCTTTACTAATATAAAAACCACAACTGGCGTTTACTGAGCACTTAACTGTGTGCCCCACCCTGTGCTAAGGACTTTCCCCGTATTATCTCACTTACTCCTCACGGCAGGTCCTGTGGTAGCTACTGTAACGACCTACATTTTACAGGTGGGGAAACTGAGGTCCAGAGGAATTAGGTCACTAGCCCAAGGTTAGGATTTGAACGCCTGCAGTCCAGCCCCAGAATCTGTGCTAAGTGTATGTTGCCTCTGCCTACAATGTGCTCCCCCTCCCCCTCTGCCTGGTCAAACTTACTCCCCCGTCAAGATCCCACCTACATGTCCTTCCTGGGCCTTTTCCTGGGTGCAGCCGGTGCTCGCCTCCCTCCTCAGTGCTCCCCCAGCTGGGCCGTATGTGCCTGGTCTTTGCCCCCGGGTCTCAGGGCACAGAGCGGCTCTCAGGGACTGTCACCTTGCCGTTCCAGATCCCGGGAGCATTCCTGCAGGCGGCACCGACGAGCCCCCAATGCTGACCAAGGAGGAGCCGGTCCCAGAGCTGCTGGAGGCTGAGGTGAGAGGCCAGGAGGCTGGACTCCGGGCCTTGGAGGGAATGGGACCCTGGGGGCTGCACTCAGAGGTCCGGGTGGGAAACGCAGCCCTCAGGCCCGGATTCTTGGGACGGAAAGGAAGGGGTGTTTTAGAAACCAAGTCCTGACGGCTGGTGCAGGGCTGATCTGAGACCATTGAAAGCCTGAAAAGATCCTGGTGCTCCTGCAAGCATTATTTTTTAAAATCCTAAATGAGACAATTCGCTTAAGAAAGTCCCCCCACAAAGTTGGCTTCCCACAGGGCCTACCTTGATGTATTTCCCAGAAATACCAAATGTCAACTTCTCCTCAAAACAGTATTGTTCCCAGGGCCCCCTTACTCTGCGCGCCGGTCCCTGGCTCCGGGCCGGAGGAGAGGGGAGAGGGGCTTCGGAGGAGGCAGAGGCAAGGAGGTGCCCTCCTGGGTCCGGGAGCTCATGCCTGTCCCCTTCCTCTCCAGGCCCCCGAAGCTTTCCCTGTCTTTGAGCCAGTGCCACCTGTCCCCGAGGCAGCCCAGGGTGACACCGAGGACTCGGAGGGCGCCCCCCCACTCAAGCGCATCTGCCCAAATGCCCCCGACCCCTGAGAGCTGGTCTGTCTTTCCTGTTGCCTAGGGGCCCCTTGGATTTTTTACGAATAAAGACCTTTTTGTAACTCTGTGTCCTGTCATTCCCATCGGGCTGGGGAGGGTCTTGGGAGCCAGTTTTGTCTCATGCTCCGTTTCTCAGATAGGGTCACTCGAAGCTCTAAGAGGATCTTTCTATAGTCACACACATGAGTCAGGTATGGAACGGGGGCTGGAGCCAGGACCCTGCCTCTCAAACACTCCCTCCACCCTGCCCTGCACCCCTGACCTTTGACCCTTCCTGACCTTCAGCAGAGGAGGAATCCAGGGACCCGGCCCGGCAGTTACCAAAGCTCTGGGCTCCAAGGCCCACGATGCCCATTCGTACACAGGAACAGGGATGCCAAGAGGAGCTTTGGGGCCCGGATGGCCCACCCCCTCTGCTGCCTCAGGAACCTCCTGCCTCTGCGCAGTCACACCTCCGCTGGAACCTGCCCACACTCCGGGCTGTCTTATCTGTCCCGGCTCCATCACCTCCTCCTCCAGAAAGCCTTCCCTGGCCCCAGGCATCGTCGATTCCCCTTCTTTTGGGCCCGCTCTGTGCTCCCTCCCCACTGTCTCAGTCCTTATCAGGCCGTTTGGGAGGGTTGGTCTGCGTGTAGGTTGTGGGCTTCTGAGGGCAGAACTTGGTCCCCAGTTTTCTTAGCACCAAACTGGGCTCAGAGCTGCCATAGCAACTATTTGGTGAATGAATGAATGAATGAATGGGCTGAGGCTATCCAGGAAGGCTTCTCTGAGGAGGTGGCACGTGAGCTAAGCTCTGAGACATGAAGTCCGAAGCCCTGGTTCAAGTCCTGGCTCTGTTAGTAGCTGTGTGGCTCTGCATGGGCTATTTCCCTCCCCTTCATTTGTTCATCTGAGCAATGGGGCGATAACCAGACCTCATCTGCCCCAGTGGTTTATGGGAACCTTCAAACAATGGAAGGCACCTTCATTCATTCTGTGCCTGCTAAAGAGTTAGGGTCAGGTGTATTAGCCCTACTTTTATATTTTATTATTTTTTAAATTCTCTCCTGAAAATGTTTATTGATTTTAGAGAAGGGAAAGAGAGACAAACATCGATGTGAAAGAGACACATTGGCCAGTTTTCTCCTACATGCGCCCTGACCAGGGATCGAGCTCGCAACCTAGGTATGTGCCCTGACTGGGAATCGAACCCCCAACCTCTCAGTGTACAGGACGATGCTCCAATCAACTGAGCCATCTGGCCAGGCCCAGCCCTATATTTATTTTTAGCAAAGGAGGAGACTGAGATTCAGAGAGGACCAAACTGGAACTTTAAAGAACTATTGAAACTGTAAGGGTGATTCACAACAGCAGCTGCAGCAGTAGCTGAGCCAGAGCTGGCCAGGGGCCAGGTGTGTAGTGATGTGATATATTCATTTTCTGTTGCTGCTGTAACAAAATACCACAAACTTAGTGCTAGAAACAACACAAGTTTATTATCTTACTGCCTGGAGGTCAGAAGTCCAAGATAAGTCTTAACGGGTTAGTCTGGGTGTCCGCAGGGCTGGTTCCTGCCAGTGGCTCGAGGGGAGAACCAGTTCCCTGTCGTCTTCGTCGTTTTCTTCTTCCTCCTCTTTTTCCTCCTCTTCTTCTTCCTCTTCTTCCTCTTCTTCCTCTTCTTCTTCCTCTTCTTCCTCTTCTTCTTCCTCTTCCTCCTCTTCCTCTTCCTCCTCTTCCTCTTCTTCTTCTTCTTCTTCTTCTTCTTCTTCTTCTTCTTCTTCTTCTTCTTCTTCTTCTTCTTCTTCTTCTTCTCCTCTCTCCCTCTCTCCTCTCTCTCTCTCTCTCCCTCTCTCTCCCTCTCTCTCACTCTCTACCTCTCTCTCTCTCCCTCTCTCTCTCTCCTTCTCTCTCCCTCTCTCTCTCTCTCTCCCTCTCTCTCCCTCCCTCAGCATGTCTCCTTTTTCCTCTCTCCTGCCTCCCTTTTCTAAGGACCCCTGTGATGACATTGGACCTGGATGATCCAGGATAATCTTCCCATCTCAAGGCCCTTACTTTAATCACAGCTGCAAAGTCTCATTTGGTGGGTAAAGTAACAGTCACAGCCTCTGGGATTAGGGCATGGACATCTTTGGAGGGCATTATTCAGCCGCACCAATAATCTCAGCCTTTTCCTGGTGTGGGGGTCATCTCATTATCCTCTCAGCCACCTCGTGATGTGATGAGTGCTCTGTAAACGGTGAAGTGCCTTGTGTGGGTCAGTAGTACAGCATTAGGGCCCAGATTCAGCTCTGGGTTTGAATCTCAGTGCCTCTATTCCATCACTGTGTGACCTTGAACAAGTGACTTATCTCTGAGCCTGTTTTCCTATCTGTAAAATGGGTATAAAACTAACGTTCACCTGGAGAGACTACTGGGAGGATTAAATGAGGCAATACATAGAGACCTTGGTGTGGCACATAGTGCGTGCTCAGTAAACTGAACGGCAGCTGTTTTTCCTGTTACCCCATTTCACAGGTGCAGAAACCAGGGTTTAGGGATAGAGGCCAGAGACTTGCCTGTCAGTAAGACTGGGGAGGAGGAGTCCATTTCTGAGCAGCCTTGCAAGGCTAAAGCTTGAGTCTCCCTGATTCCTGTCCTCCTCCTGGTCCCAGCTCCCAAGCCCCAGGCATCTGTTCTTTAGCCTAGGCCTATGCAACCCCTACTGCCCTCCTAGTGACCTTTTCCATGGCCACACCCTAATGCCCACCTTACCATGCCCACCCAACCCTCCCCGTGACCATACTCTCTTCCATCCCTGGTTCCAGGGCCTGGGCCCCAGGGCTGCTCTCCCTGTGTCACTCTTCTTCCTGATCCCTTAAATACCTCCTGCCCTGGCCTAGCCTTCTCTCCATGTAGCTCTGCTCCCTGCTGGGTCACAGCTACTCCTTGAATCTCTGCCTCCAAGTTCTGCCCCCACCTCCAGACTCAAAGAGCAGATGCCTCTGAGACTTCTCCCCTGGATGTCCTACAGACGCTCAGCTCCATCTCCTCCCAACGTGTGTCCACCATCCTGTGCAGAGAAGTAGCCCCCAATGCCAGGAGCTGGCTCAGCTGGGAGCATTCAGAAGTCAGTCTATGTCCCATGTGCTATCATGTCCTGTTAAGTCTCTGTTCTAAGTATCCTCCCCTTTCGAGGGCCCCACTGTTTCTCTGTAGGTTTCCCTGCTTCACTCTTGCCCCCAGGCCATTCTCCGCCCAGCATGTGGGCAGTCTCAGAAACCCAAGCCTGTTCATGCTCCTGCCCTGGGTTAGAGCCCTCTAGCTTGCAGGACCTACAGGATGGAGCCCACACCCTGACACACCACCCTGCACAGCTCCCCTCCGAACTGCTGGCAATCACTCCCAACGCACTCGCTGATCTTCACCTCTCAGCTTAGCTCATGCTCACTGCTCTGCCCGGAGTGCCCCTCGCATCCCCTCTTCAGCTGGCAGATGCCTTCTTGTTTTCAAATCTCTGCTTCGGGGTCTTCTTTCCTCTCATGCCCCTGCCCCTCTCCTGCCATTGCGTGGAGCACTAGTTATTGTCCTGGATGGGCTGTGTGAGCCCCACTAGGGAGGGGAATTCCTTTATTCATAGCACCATGTATTGTGGCTGTTTGCTGGGTACTTTTCTAGGCTCTGGGGATACAACATAAACAAAATAGAAAAAATCCCTGCCTCGTGGAGCTTACTTTCAGTAAATTATATCATATGTAGGAAGTTATAACTACTTTTTAAAAAACGGAGTAAGGAAGACGGGGAAAGAATGGATTGCAATTTAAACAGGAAGCTCGGGACAGGCCTCACTGAGAGACCTCTAAAGAAAAGCTTGAAGGAGGTGAGGGAGAGAGCCATGCAGATATGTAGGGGAAGAGAATCCTGGGCAGATGGAACAGCCAATGCAAAGGTCCTGAGGGGGAGCATGCCTGGAAATGAGGTCAGTGTGGCTGGAGCCGAGGGAGGGACGGAGGGAGGAGACAGAGAGGTGTGGTGGAGGGAAATGAGGTCAGGTCACAGAGGGCCTCATAGGCAAGGCAGGCACATATTCTGTCACTCAAACTTTGAGAATAAAAGAGGATGATGCATTTATAATTATGCCCAGATGACAGGTAAAGCCTGGGATAACCAGAATGTACTGTCATTCTGTAGGAGGCCATTGTCAGGGCTCTGGATTTTACCCTGGAAGAGATGAAGAATTATTGAAGGGGTCTGAGCAGAGGATGACATGATCAGACTTATATTCCTCCCCCTAATATTTTATTATAAAAAGTTTTAAACATACAGCAAAGTTGGAAGGATTATACAGGTAGCACCCATACACTCACCACCTAGACTCTAGCATTTTACTGTATTTGCTTTATCATAGATCCATTTCAAAATTAGTTGCAACAGTACACTTCCCTTTAAACACATCAGCATATTAACTAGAATTCAGTATCTTCTATATAATAAAAGGCTAATATGCAAATTGACCAAACGGCAGAACGATCATCGCTATGATGCGCACTGACCACCAGGGGACAGACACTCAGTGCAGGAGCTGCCCCCTGGTGGTCAGTGGGCTCCCACCTTTGTCAAAGATAGCAGCTCAGATTTTTATTTTTATTTTTTATTTTTTTTTATTTTTTTAAATATATTTTATTGATTTTTTACAGAGAGGAAGGGAGAGAGATAGAGAGCTAGAAACGTCGATGAGAGAGAAACATCGACCAGCTGCCTCTTGCACACCCCCCACTGGGGATGCGCCCGCAACCAACGTACATGCCCTTGACCGGAATCGAACCCGGGACCTTTCAGTCCGCAGACCGACGCTCTACCACTGAGCCAAACCGGTTTCGGCCAGCTCAGATTTTTAATATGAAACCACTTGATTTTAAATGTTTGCAATATATTCAATACCAGGTAAGCCAAGCAAATCCTATCTATAGGCCAGAGGTTGCCAAACTCTGTATCACCTGTGGAGCTTTTAAAACTCCCAATGCCAGCCAAAGCCGGTTTGGCTCAGTGGTAGAGCGTCGGTCTGTGGACTGAAAGGTCCCAGGTTTGGGACAGGCCTCACTGAGAGACCTCTAAAGAAAAGCTTGAAGGAGGTGAGGGAGAGAGCCATGCAGATATGTGGGGGAAGAGAATCGGGAGTGCCGATTCTCCTCCTGCAGTGCCCTTCACCTCCCGCCCCCTGCTGGCCAGCTGATTGCCAGCCAGGCCAAGGGGCCCCACCTGTGCACAAACTAGAGGCACTGAGCCTCTGGTTTACTTAAAAGTTTGTTTTTTTCTGTTGAGGCAAAATATCCATATAATGAAATGCCCAGTTACCTGAATGTTTCAATCAGTTTCATCACATGATACATCTGCATAACACAAGCCCTTATCAAATACATCACTATCTTCCCCCAATTCCTTTTGTCCCTTCCTGTTGCCCTTGTCCCCCCTTTCTGTCCCCACTTCCCAGAGGCAACCATCGTTTTGGTTTTGACTAAGTTAACCTGTTCTAGTTCATATGCATGCACTCATTTGCATCTGTTCTCCTTCACTCAGCATGATGTATTTGAGAGGCATCCATACTGTTGCTTGGATCCTTCTGTCCCTTTCTATTGCACAGTAGCATTCCACAGAGTTGGGTTTAACTAGGATCGCTCTGCCAGGTGGAGAACAGATGGCTCCAATTCCTCTCCTTTTCTAGCTCCCTGGACAAGCCTGTCAGGCCTGGGGCTCGGAGCCCCAGGTGAGTGTGCCCCAAGGAGATAGAGGACCTTTCCCAGGGACCTTTTAGAATGTAGAGTTTGTGGCATCAGTCCCCAGAAATCTGGGGAGACAGAACGATATCAGGGGCAGGATCTACAGTGACGAAGCACTTCAAGCTCCATATCCCAAGAAACCACTGGGTCCTGGGCAAACGGATCCCACCACTGCCCCTTTCTCACTTACTGCCCTGCTATCCTCCTCAGGACTGACTTTCCTGAAACTACACTGGTCTGTTCTCCCTGCTCTAAACTCCCCAAGACTCCCCTGCCTCTGCCTGGCACCCCTAATGGTACCCAGGTGCACTCAGGCTTTGGGGTCCCACTCCAGACCACCACAATAAAGCAAGCATCACAAGAAAGCAAGTCATGGTCTTTTTGCTCGTGGAGGGTCTTGCCTTCTATTTGTAAAAACCACAACCCCTCTAAAGCACAAAAAATGAGGTTTGCCTGTACTTAGCCTACAGCGCTGCTTTTCATTTGCTGCAATTGAAACTACCTGGGATTTCATACCTGGTCCTGCCGCAGACACTTCCATCAGTATGGGAGGTGACTCAGGCATTGGAAGTTTTTTGGTTTTATTGTTTTGGTTTTTTTTTTAAAAAAAAACCCCACATATTTTATTGATTTTTTTTACAGAGAGGAAGGGAGAGAGATAGAGAGCCAGAAACATCGATGAGAGAGAAACATCGACCAGCCGCCTCCTGCACACCCCCCACCGGGGATGTGCCCGCAACCAAGGTACATGCCCTTGACCCTTGACCGGAATCGAACCTGGGACCTTTCAGTCCGCAGACCGACGCTCTACCACTGAGCCAAACCGGCTTCGGCTGGCATTGGGAGTTTTAAAAGCTCCACAGGTGATACAGAGTTTGGCAACCTCTCGCCTATAGATAGGATTTGCTTGGCTTACCTGGTGTTGAATATATTGCAAACATTTAAAATCAAGTGGTTTCATATTAAAAATCTGAGCTGCTATCTTTGACAAAGCAGATGGTCTGAGGCACTGAAGCTGCGTCTCCAGGTATGGCAATCACCTGGGCTGAGGGCATTGGCTGCCCGCAGAGACAGAGCGTGCTCCCGTCACCACAATCCCCACTGCTCCTTAGGGTCTGCATCGTCATTTATGTCCATCTGCCTGGCATGCAGGCTGATGTCCGACTCTGCAGCCAGGCACTGAAGGCCTTCCAGGGCAGGTCTCTAATGCCCTCCTCAGTCACTATTCCAGCATGCTCCTGCCACTTCCTGCCCCCGGCCACGTGGGCCTCACAGTTCCCTTTCACACCTGCCTTTGCCCATGCAGTTCTCCCACCAAACCCACTCCGTTTGGCCCCTGCCCATCTCCTCACTCCCCTCCCCTTCCCATGCCACACACACAACTTTTAACACACTGAAGTGTTCCCCCTCGGCACCTGCTGTTCCCTGGCCTGGGTAACTGCCCTTCCTCTTTCTTCCCGGCCAATGCCTCCTCACCTTTCAGGCCCTGCCTTAGCTCTTACCTTCTTCAGGAAGGTTCCCTGGACCTCAGACTAGGTCAGGACCCCTGTTAGTCACTGTATTTTCTCTTTTGCTGGACATCTCACTTCCCCTGCTAGAAAGAGGCCGAGTGCTCTATCCGTCCTCCTAAATCTGGACTTTTTTAAAATGCCGTGGGACGCGGGACAAATGGTTAAAAATAGAGACCAAAATCTGGACTTTTTTAAAACAACGCGGGACAAATTGTTAAAAAGCGGGACGTCTGGTCACCTTATCCTAGGGTCTAGTCTAGTCTGTTCATGAATGGTAAATGGATGAAAGGACAAAACAAGCACCTGTCCCTTTCTCCACCCCTCTTCGGCTGGCGTTTCTCTCCGTCCTCCTGGAGACCTAAACCTCACTGAGCTGAGATCTCACAGGGCCCCGCCTTGCGGCTTCCCCGCCTTCAGAAGGCGCCCGTGGAACAGGCGTAGCAGCCCTGGCCGAGCCCCACATCGTGACCGGCGCCTGCGCTGCTGCAGGGCAGGGCTGTGACTGTGTCTCTCCATTCCCATGCAGTCTAGGACTGTCCGGTGGCCGTGGCTTTGCTGCTGGTCCCTCCGTTTCCGTCAGCTCTGGGAGGGGGCTGCGGTGGAGACGGCCAAGACCCCGGGTAGCACCGGGCTTTTCCAGGTCCAGCCGATCTGTCCTGGACACTTACCCACTGGGCCTTTTGGCCTCTGACACATGGAGCCAACCATCTTTTCCTCATGGGCCGTCCTCTGTCAACCTTGTCAGGAGCGGCCGGCACCGGAGACGCTGTGTGTAAACCCAATGGTTGGAAAGTGACTATTTCCAACCTTTCATTTTCAGACTCACCGCTAGGAAATGTAGGAAACGCGGTGCCGAAGAAAAGAGAGGAAAACTGCCTGCAGTGTGTGACAACCCCGGCTGAGGATTTAATGTACATATTTTAAGATGTTGTGCGGCGGTTGGGATCCATGGAAACCGCCCGTGCACGTTCGGGGCGGTTGGCGCGGCGGGGCGGTCGGACGGAAGCCGCTGCCCTCGCGGCCTCGGCGGAGCTCGGATCGGACAGAGGGCGCGCCGGCGGTGGGGGGCACCGAGCGCGCCGGGCGTCCTAGAGAGGCCTCGCGCGGACTTCCGGCCTCCAGCCGCCGGCGGAAGTGCCTCCCGCCGCGGAGGGCGCGCAACCGACAACCCTGGCCGTCGGCGCTGCGGTGGAGGGTTCCTCGCCCAGCCCGGCCTGCGCCGTTGCGGCGAGCGGCTCTCCTGGGCTGGCTCCTGCCGACGTGTCCGGCCCCCATGTGAGCCCCTCGGGTCCTTGTTCCCCGGCCGTCCTTCGGGCGCTGCCGGTTTCTGGTACTTGCACCGGGGAGTCCGCAGTGTCCCCATTATCCAGCCCAGGAGGCTGAGACCGAATAGCAAAGGCTGCTTTCCCGCTGGAGTATCCGGTCGGGCAGAGCCATGGCCCACAGCGCGGCCCTTGAGCTCTAGCGCTGCCGCCGCCGGACCTGGATGTGTCCGGGGAAACGCCGCTGTCCCGGGGAAGGACCCCGAGAGCCGGTCTGCCTCCGGGGCGCTGGTAGCGTGGGTTCTTGAGTTCCTGCAGGAAATATGTCCCAACATGAGTCCAGGTGACTCTATGAGAGTACGTACGTTCGTTAAAGCTGGGAACACTGACCCGGGGAAGGGCTTAGGGCAGCGTTTTTCAACCGCTGTTCCGCGGCACACTTGTTGCCTGGTGTGCCGTAGGTGCAGACAAGACAAGACTTTTATAATTTTTCACTTTTGTTTACTTAATATTTCATAATAAAGTAATTATAAAATACTTTCTTTGTGTTTATTTGATTCCTATTCAAGAGAATTACTTTATATGTAGTCAATATAGGCACAGAGTTAAATTTTTTAACATTTTCTAATGGTGGTGTGCCTCATGATTTTTTTCATGAAACAAGTGTGCCTTTGCCCAAAAAAGGTTGAAAAACACTGGCTTAGGGTACAAGGAGCAGCCAGAGGGGACTAGGTGCTACTGCTTTGGCTCCAGAAACGCCATTGAAAGAAGCGAGCACAGGGGCCTGCTGCCCGCTCAGCGGAGAGTCAGAGAAAAGGGGGCCTTGGGGGCAGGGGGAGGGGTAGCCCAGAACGAGCAGCTGCTGGTTTCAAGTCTTGAGAGTGAGGAGGCTAAAAGGGGTAATTCCAATGTGACCCTCATATTTGGATTGCCAGTGACCTGAATCCAAGTCAGCAAGCTCAGTGTACATTCCTGATAACCTATAATTAAGTCCCTCTCTCTCTCCCAGATACTGGTCTTGCAGAACCGGTTACAGAGTCCATGGGGCTGTGGACAGTGCACTGCCCAGAAGGAGGGCTATTAACTCTGACGCCAGGCCAGACCATCAGATACGGCCTGGAGACCCCAGCACCTGGGGGCCTTCTTACAAGGCCCTCGAAAAGGACCGGAAGCATAATCCATGTTGTGGGACAAAGATCCCAAGGAGGGGGGTGTAAGGGAGGGCCCCATGCTGTTCCTTCACTCAGACTTGGAAGGCTGTTCCCTGAGTCCGCTGGCGTATTAAACAGTGTCCCTCCTACTTCCTCAGAAGCCTCCTTGGTCTTCATGGTCTTCTGCCTCAGCAGGACACAGGCTTTTAGGAGGGCCCTGACTCAGTGGTGGGAGCCTCGGCCTGCACACGAGGTCCCTGGGTTCAGTTGGTTCCGGTCTAGGGCACCTTCCTGGGCTGCAGGTTCATCCCTGGCCCCAGTGACCGGTGTGACAGGCGACCAATCAATGTGTCTCTCTCACATCGATGTTTCTCTTCGCTTCCTCCTCCCAACCTCCCTCCCTTCCACTCTCTAAAAAGCAATGGGGGAAAAATATCCTCAGGTTAGAATTAACAAACAAAACAATTTTTTTTTAATTTTTTTTTTGAATTTTAGGAGAAGGAAAGTAAAAAGCTCACGCCTGAGGAAAGTAACAGCCATGCTCCACAGAGAGCCCTGGCTGCCCCTGAGGGTTTCCAACTCTTTTGTGAGGACCTTGGGTGCGTCTGAGGGGAGGGTTCCAGCAGGATGGTCATTAGTTTCCAGGTGTGGCCTTCAATGTGTTGATTCACTTTGGAGCTTCACTGCTTTTATCTTGGGTCTGTGGGGTTTTTGTTATTTGTTCCCCTGCCTTCATCCGTGCTTGGGTTTGGCTGGCACAAATGGCACTAATTGGGTCCTGTTACCTGTCTCCCTGATTTAAGCTATTTATTCTCTCTGGTGATGGGGGGGCGGGGGCACGGAGAGGTATAAACCATTTGCTCTCACGTGTCCTTGGTTAGGGAAGATTACGTCTTGCAGTTTATACCACTGGCTGTGAATTGGTCAAATTGTTTGGCCTTGTTTAATGATCTTGTCTCAGTTTTCCCATCCCACTTGTCAAGGAATGTTCCTAGGTTCTTTATATATATATATATATATATATATATATATATATATATATATATATATATATATGTATTTTATTGATTTTTTTACAGAGAGGAAGGGAGAGAGATAGTTAGAAACATCAATAAGAGAGATTCATCGATCAGCTGCCTCCTGCACACCCCCCACTGGGAATGTGCCCGCAACCAAGGTACGTGCCCTTGACCGAAATCGAACCTGGGACCTTTCAGTCCGCAGGCTGACGCTCTACCACTGAGCCACACTGGTTCCAGCTGTTCCTAGGTTCTTACTGTCCTTCAGGACCTACAGATCCCCCCACCTTTATCACACCCCCCGAGGCAGGTGCTGTTCACACGTTACAGGTGACAGAAATGGGCCCTTGATGCTGGTCAGTTGCTGGGGAGGGAGGAATATAAGCCCACGTGTGACCTGACTGACAGCACCGAGTGGTTACACCGGGCCCTTTCACAAAGGGCAGAGTTTACCCTCGGAGCTGAGGGGAGGGATGGCGCAGACCCGGGGGCCCTGGTTCTGGTTTGTTTGCACCCCTTCATTCACTCAAGGAGCAAGAAACAGATTTAACACCTTTCTTTTTAGTAACAGCTTTATTGAGATATAACTCACTATACAGTCCACCCATTTAAAGTGTACAATTCAGTGGTTCTTATAGAGAGCTAGAAACATCGATGAGAGAAATATCGATCAGCTGCCTCCTGCACACCCCCTACCTGGGATGTGCCTGCAACCAAGGTACATGGCCTTGACCGGAATCTAACTAGGGACCCTTCAGTCCGCAGATGGACACTCTACCACTGAACCAAAGTGGTTTTGGCATCCTCCCGTTTTTACTCTTTTTTTTTGCAGAATAGCTCCAACTGTAATGTTGCGCTATAATTTATTTATTTATTTTTTTTATAATATATTTTATTGATTTTGTACAGAGAGGAAGGGAGAGAGATAGTTAGAAACATCGATGAGAGTCATCGATCAGCTGCCTCTTGCACACCCCCTACTGGGGATATGCCCACAACCAAGGTACATGCCCTTGACCG